ACAGAAACGGATAAACGTCTTTTTTTTCCACTGTTCCAATATTCAACCGCTTTTCTTTTATAATTTAAATCTACACTTCCACCTTTGTCATCTACAATACAAACTTCATCTTTATAGTTATCTTCTTCAGCATGAGGATCATACGAATCTACAAACTGTACAGCTTGAGGTTCCGATGGATCATCAAAATCAAGTCCCCAATCATATTCAATCGTAATATCGTCTTTTAGAGAATCCCTTATTAAATTTGAAATTGCATCGTGGAGTTCTACTTCACGATGATTAACAGGAGTGACAGCGAGTTTTGCAATGTGAAACGTTGTAATTAACAAATTTATAACGTTTGCCGTATTTATGGCCAACATTTTGACATAAATGCTTGAATAAATGTTATATGAAACTTTCCCACAGAAAGTATCACACGTACAATATATTAAATAACATGAATGAAATGCAGAAGCGGATGGCTTTTATACTAATTGTATAAGGAAAACGAACATTAAAGATAGCCTTCCCATAACCTTCCCTTTTATTGCATCACATCAATCTCGATAATCCTTCAACCTTTCAACTATTCAAAGTTGATAACGTTCTCATAAATATAATGACGTACATAACAGGAAATATTACATATACGTTAGTGCATCCGTGTTTATTTCATTCTAGACGATAATCTTTAATTTTTTTTACCAAAGGTCTAAATCAGAAATTACTTTATCGATAACTTTGATTTTTCTCTTACGATATATTTTGACTACTATATTATTTATAAAATGTGTAATATACAAAAATCAGTTACGTGATTAGATTTATTACGAACATCTATTTCATCGTTATCTTGTATTGCGAAAAAATACAGAGAGAAGGGGAGAAAGAGAAGTCGTAGCCAAAATTAGCGGGCCGATAAAAAATTGACAGCATACCCTGTAAGGATGTTTTCAGTTTATTTCTCAAAAACACGTTTACGGATCGCAACTTTATTATATATGGTTGAATTTGGCGTGAAATAAACTTTAATTTTAGTTGCAAGAAAAATTTAAATATGAAAAAAAAAAGATACGTGGTGGGGGTATTTTGAAAAATTAAACATTTTTGCAAAATATGATCATGCCATTATAAAGAGCTTTCGAAACCATAAAACTTTTGCTGGAAACATTTTTTTATATTTCTCATTATTTCGGCGATATTCGCTTGAAAACGTAAACACCGATTTTATTTAAGGGGATGCTGCACCCCTAAAACCGAATATCAGCAGCTAAAAAAAAATTGTTTCGTGATTAGGTTCATCTACTCTAAACTTATACAAAGTTTCAGATTTTTTTGAATTTTACACTTGCCGAACTTCCCTTGAAAGTGATAAATATCAAGAATAGACATTTGTTTCTGAGTCAGTCGAAATGAAGAACTATAAAAAGTTTATTTTGCAACGCATAATAATTATTAAATTATAAAATTATATTTACATTATCTAAGTCTGGTGATATAGAATATAATTTTTTTATTTATATTTGCATTTTATAATAATAGTTTCAAAAAAATGATAAGAAAATGAATCAAAATAGCATCAATATCTAAATGATACAATATCGGATGTCTTTTGCAACATTTAAAATTCTGGCGATGAATTCGCGTCACAAATCTTTTCCTTTAAAAATGTTATGCAGACTTCAAAATAATCATCAAATTTCGTGCATTATTTCGATACGACATAATGTCGATGATTTCGACGTCAATTAGACATCGATTTGATGGGTCATTTCTCGCTGGGGAATTGATTTAAAACATGTGCCAGGATAAAAGCCGTATCTAAAATTTGTGTTATTTTATATACCTAACCCATACAGTACGTGGAATCGTAGTAATCCAGTACGTAGAAATCCAAAAGGCATCCAAAAAGATATAACAGATATTCTCAGGATATCCTATTTTAATCCTAAGACCTCCTCCGGATGTCCTGAGCAATTGCAAATGATCGCTTATTTTTTATCTCTGAATCATTCTTAGAATATTGTGTGGGATATTACAGAACTTTTATAGGATATGAAAAGGATGTTTATTTATAGGATAATTTTTATATCGGAAAAAATCTACCTGTACAAAAAAGTATAAGAATTTGAAAAAATTACTAATATAACAATAATTCTTCAACAATGTATTATTGAAAAACTATTATTATACCAGTAGTTTTTCGTATTCTTGTAGTTGTTTTTTCAAAAAATACATATGCTCGCGAGATAGTTATAAACATTAACAAATTTGAAAATAAAACAATTTAAAGATTGCGTAGCATTTAATTAATTTGTGTTGGATAACAAAAATAATCATACATGGAGATTAAATTTTTTAAAAATATATTAATGATAATATCTTAAAACATCCTACAAATGTCTTGGATCATCCTGGACATTTTGATGATAATCCTGAGGATGTCTTGTGCTGTCTGGGAATTCAATCGTCAAAATGATTAAAGTGAATCGTACAAATTACTTGCAGACATCGTTTCGAGCGTTTATTCTACAATGATCGTAATCAGTTGACAGAGGTCGTTGATCGAAACGATATGTATTACAAAAGAATTTCGTTCATCGTGCATACGCACCGAAAATCTTTAAAGTAAGTGTATATGACATGTTGAGATGTTTACAATTAAAATATCCAGAAGTGACAAAATATATTTCATGCTTATCTAATTTTTTACATAGATTCGCAGAACTTTTAGAAAAAACCTTTATCATACCATTTGCGTTTGAAATGTTGGTGATAACAATAGCGTTAAGCCTTACCTTGTTACAAGTATTTAATAATTTTATGTAAAATTGTACTTGTAAAATCTCTGCAAAAGTTTCAAACACTGAATTTTTTTATATTGAAGATTTCACAGGAAGACGGTCCTATACTGGAGAAAATAAGATACGCGTTATATATCAACTGATTCACTTATTCGTCTTAAGTTTAGAGAGACAAAAATTGACAGATCATAGTCTTCAAACACGCGACAAGATGTAAGAGACGGTTGTCTTTGAAATTTATAAAAAAATTATCAGATTTCTATGTTATATTTCGCATTTAACTCGCGCATTTTTGGAATATTGCAGATTCAATAGTCCCTGGCATAAAACATCCGTCAGATCGCAAAAGCTGATCATGATGGTGATGACAAAATGCCTTCGACCGAGCTTTTTAAGCGCCGGCAAGATTTACATATTTTCTCTGGAGAGTTTTGCCTCGTAAAATATTCATTAATTATTACACATGTCATTGTGGAGCTGCTTAATAAAATGTGTGTGTATGTGTTTTTGTTTTAAAGGTTCTACAAGTTTCAATGTCGTACTTTACGGTGCTCTCGTCCTTTTAATAATTTACGATATCTCTACATCCAGTAATCTCTATATATAATAATTTCACCATCTAGTACCTATATGTATAATATATCAAACTGGTGAAATCGTATCGAGTGTGAAGATATTATTGTAAGTTATACTTTAAAAGTTTCGTGAAAATATTTACTTGAAGAAATTGCAACAATCTTTGCATTTTTTATTTTACCATTCCGAGTAACAATCAAAAAAATATTGAAGCAAGGGATAATCATCTTTATCCTTAACATTTAATAATGACATAAATGATATATCTAAATCAGAACCGAATAAAGTTCGAATATATTCTGAGAAAATAAAAATAGAACGATTTTCCGTTTGTGCGTCATATTTCGTTATAACAGTAAAATAGGGGAAACTATCTAGTTATTAAATCGTACCTACCATTTAAGGTAAATATTAAAATTGCCATAAAATTATCAAAGAAATAACACAATTTTTTATTCATTAGAAATTATGGTTTTTTGACAACAATATACGCTATAAACTAAAAATTAAAAAATATTATTTGGTATAATTTACAAATACCGTTTTTACTCATAAGTTTTTGAATCGTAATACGTCTTACAATAAAAATAAAAAAGTACAACAAAAATGAAGTTTTATTTTCTACAAAAATTCTCAGTCTACAACAAAACATACATTTATAATTGTAAAGCCTTTTAAAAATTTAACAAAAATAATTTCTAAATCACATAAAAATAAAAAACATATTTTAATATAATTATAAAATGTGGATATTTTTGCTTGAATTATTCATCTAAACATAAAGAAAAAAAGATTAATGCCTAATAATAAGTAAAAAAATTAAGTATGAAGGATTATTATATGTGGATTGCTTTATAACTGGTATATGCTTGAGAAAAAAGAAAAACGCAAGATTATGACAAAATATGCTGAAATCGATAACTGGTACGCGATGGTGTATACTAGTAAGTAATCTCTTTCTTTATTTAAATTAAAATATATTTTTTATAACCAAATATTCCAGAATCTGGCTTAATGCTATAATGTATGAAGATTTCTCGCGTATAAACACAATACATCTATTGTATTTTTAAATCTTTGTGCCTCGGATTTAAATTTGTTTTAGTAATTTTAAAACTTATTCCTTTCTAATATTAGATATCTTATTTAAATGTGACTTTTTCAATTAATTTAATATATTTTTATTTAATTAATTTATGTATAATAAATATATTTTTCGAATTATATTTTTTTGTATATTTCTTATTGAAATATATTTTTGTAACAATATTTGTAGATTTTTAGCATTTGCACTACGTATAGTAATGCTTATTAGCACAAATATGTTTTAATGTATTTTAATTGGTACTCATAATAAATAGTTTTATTTGTGTCCAAAAAATGATATTATTTTACAATTAATTTAAATTTGATATTGTGTGGAAAAATATTTATTTTTGATATTGTAAGAAATCCTTTTTTGCTAAAAAATTTGTCTCTACAATTTAAAATATTTAAAAATGTAATAATTGATTTTGTTTGGAAAAGACTCTAGGTATTGTATTTTATCTGATTGTTATATAATAAACAAATATTATTCAACATATATATTATATAATATTCAATATAGAACACACACGTGCAAAAAGTAGGTACTAAAAATGTTATTTTGTTATCGATATTACTTGTTACGTTCTCTTCCTACCTCTGATTGTACACATTAATATTTTATAAATGCAGATCGCATTCGTGTTGCACTTTTTCCCGAAAGTGTAGAAGAAAATTCTTCATACACGCAGGAGCTATATTCACCACTAAGGGCTAATATTATTTTCGCAGTACTGTTTCGCTCCAATCGATATTCTCCTTCACCCCTCATGGAGAGCTTCCTTACATTATATTTAGTGCCAAAGAACAAATACTATATCTGTCTATCAGATATAAGAGTCAGGTGTTCATTTACCAGCACGGAACCGTTTTGCGAAAATGTACGTAAGACAGTTTGATTGTTATGATAGGATATGTATACGTTCTTCAATTTTGCGTCTCGTTTCAAAGAATAAGCTACAGGTCATACGAAAGATCGAGATTAGTCGATTTCGCGTTGCCGAAGATGCAGTGTCTCTTGAAAAATGATGGACATTACTTGGAATCATTATTACAATGTTGTGTACAAAATATCGTCGGTCACCGGTGCGTGGCCCTATATGAAACCAGGGGCAAGAATATTTCGCCTTACCATACTGACAATAACTCTGTTAACTATTTTTGTCCCTCAGGTAAATCGATATACATCTAGTGTGTAATCGACGGAATCAAGGAATTTTTTTGCAAAAGTTGAGAATAATATTTTCAGATAGCGTATCAATCTACATGCAAGAAAGACATATACTGTACTTTTGAGGCGAGTACGTCGTACCTGCTGACAGTTGTGGCTTTGTTAAAAATGTGCACTATCCAATTGAACATTAGCACAGTAGGTTTTATGATATTTTACGTCGCGAATAAGTATTATAGCAGGGTCAACTTTGAAAATCATAGTTTGAATAGATAATGGAAAAGTTAAATTCTGTTAATATTTTCTTACGCTATTTTCACTAATTGTTTTCATTCAATTCAAAACAAACATTTGCTATTAATCAATATTTTGTCAGATAAGGAATCTCACCCGACATTTATCCGTCGATTGGGACGAGGTCGAAAATCCCGAAGAGTACAAAATAATGAAGTCGTATGCCGAAAACAGTCGACGATTCTCTCTGATATATACCGGTTGGAAAGACATAGATATATAGAAAATTAAATATATGAAAAGGGTTAATAAGAAGAACCGAGTGCAACACACTTGTTTTTAAATTCTTTTCTAATTATTCTGAATATTTTTTTCAATCATCAACGGATCATCGATTCCAGCTTGAAATTATTATTCTGTCAAATTTATTAATCCGTTTCATACTTCATTTTACATGTATTTAAACATCAAAACCTTTTGGATTTATTATTACATACTGGTCAACAAAAATAAACTTTTTACCAAGAATGTTTGAACGAATTTAGAATATTTTGAGGATATTGAATCCAAAAAATGACAATAGTTTTGTCTAATTGGCTCGAGTTTTTAAGTGAATGCATACTTAAATCACGATTTTATCCCAATAAGATCTGTAGCTCTTGATATGTATCAATGTCATACATTCGGAACAACTACACAAAGTTACCCTAAAATCGAACTAATATATTTTTTATAATAAAATCAACGTTACAGATGATATAGATATTCCATTCTCCTTCTACGTTTCTATCTTCCGTAAATCTTACTTTGTACGTTGCAGTGTATTGCGTAATGGCGACAAGTACGTTTATGTGTACGTCCCTTATACCGTTCGCACTCGATTTCATGTTGCCTCTCAATCAATCCCGTCCCGTGATACCGCCATATCCGGGATACTACTTTGTGGACATTCGCGAATACTTCTTGCCAATTTTTTGGCACTCTCTCGTGGCCTGGGATATCGTCATAGTCATCGTAATAGCCCACGATTGCATGTACGTGACTTATGTCGAGCACGTTTGCAGCCTGTTCGCCGTGACTGGGTAAGAACATTTAGGAGTTGATCTAAGACATGTGCCAGTATAACAGTCGCATTTAAAGTTTGTGTTTTGTTATATACCTAATTCTATCGTCAAAATGGATCAAGTAATTCGTACAAATTGCTTGCAGACATCGTTTCGAGCGTTTATTTTACAATGATTGTGATCAGTTGACAAATATTGTTGATCTGCACGATGTGTATCACAAAAGAATTAGTTTTATCGTACATATTCACCGAAAATCTATACAGTAAGTGTGTATAAAAGGTGACGTTGATGTTTACAATTAAAATATACAGAAGTGACAACATATTTTGTATTACACGTGTAGGCAAAGTAGCACTTTCGGTGCGTGTTTTCTGTGCGGGAAGCAGCCGATTTCCACCGCCGCCATCTAGCGGCGACGCGGTGAGTGAATAAGCCGCATTCAAAGCCATTATCTACGGCTCAGCCGCGTTAAAAGTCATTGTATACGGCTGAAGCCGTAGGCAATGTATTAAACACGGCTATTCCCCCACCGTGCCGCGGCAAGATGGCGGCGTGCGATCGGCCGCCTCGCGCACAGAAAAAGCCACTTTGCCTGCACTTGTAATACAAAATAGTATGTGTATCACGTGCGGATTGACAATTGTTTACTCGTGTGGGGTGGTCGCACTCGTGACCAATTGTCAACTTTCCGCACTTGATACACAATATACTATTATGCTTATCTCATCTTTTTATATACTTAGATTTGCGGAACTTCTAGAAAATACCTACTGCATACCTTTTGCCATACAAATATTCATAATAACAACAGATATGAGCGTTACCTTGTTACAAGTACTTATCAATTTCTTATAGAATTATACTTCTAAAATTTCTGCAAAAGATTCAAACATTGAACTTTTTTAAGCTTTCACAGCAGGGCGGCCTTATACTGGAGAAAATAAGATACGTGCTCTATATCATTGGTCAACTGATTCACTTATTCCTCTTCAGTTTAGAGGGACAAAAATTAATAGATCATAGTCTTCAAACACGCGACAAGATGTAAGACGTTTGTCTTCCAATTACATAAAAAAATATCGAATTTTTATGTTATGTTTTGCATTTAGCTCGCGCATTTTTGGAACATTCCAGATACAATAGCGCCTGGTACAAAGCATCAGTCAGATCACAAAAGCTGATCATGATGGTGATGGTTAAGTGCCTTCGACCGAGCTTTTTAAGCGCCGGCAAGATTTACATTTTTTCTTTGGAGAGTTTTACCTGGGTAAAGTATACATATAATTATTACACATATCATTGTGGAGTTTCTTAACAAAATGCCTGTATGTGTGTGTATGGTATGTTCTTTTGTTTTAAAGGTTCTACAAGCTTCGATGTCGTATTTTACGGTGCTCGCGTCCTTTCAATAATTTACGATATCTCTACATCTACTAATCTCTATATTTAGTAATTTCAACATCTAGTAATTAAAATTTTCAACTCATCAAATATCGACAATGTCACACATGCTTCAATCTTATATTATTGCTAGTTTTTCCTCCCGCAAGTTGCGCGGGTTTCAAGTCCTATGTTCAATCTTTTATTTAATATATATATTTTTTTTGCACGAGTTTAAATACATATGTATAGATTACATAATTTTAAGAATTAGAAATTAGTTGACCAGAACTAGTTAAATATTGATTTATTGAACTCCACAACGTTTCGAGCATATGATTGTGATTCTTCTCAAGTGAATACACTGGAATTATATATATAATTAGATTGAAATAATATTACAAGCAACAAAGCATTAGAAGAAGAGGATACTATATTTATAAATTAAAAAGTTAAAAAATGAACATAATGCATAAAACAAAGTCAAAATTATATATGCCGAACATTTTAATATGAGTACAAAAACTTAACAGAGAGAAACAAAACGACAAGCCACCAAGGATCTGGTCAACTAATTTCGAATCCTTATTTTATTTACTAGCGACGTTTAATATACATTAAGAAAAATATTACATAACTTTGTAATTACATATAATGTCTCAGATTTATATATCTAACTGGTAAAATCCTATCGAGCGTAAACAAAATATTGTAAGTTATAGTTTTAAAATATTGTGAAAATATTTGCTTAAGCAAATTGCAACAATCTTTGCATTTTTTATTTTACCATTCCGAGTGACAATCGAAGAGATACTGAAGCGACTCGCGATGGATAATCATCCTTATCAACATTCAATAATGACATAAATGATATATCTAAATCAAGACCCAGTAAAATGCCACTATATTCTGAAAAAATACAGTAAAACGATTTGTCGTTTGTGCCTCATATTTCGTTATAAAAGGAAAACTATATATAGTTATTAAATCGTACTGTTTAAGATATAAATGTTAAAATTACAATAAAATTATCAAAAAAATGATACAATTCTTTTATTTATTTGAAATTATGGTTCTTCGACAATAATATACGTTATAAACTAAAAATAAAAAAAAGTATTTGGTACGATTTACCAAATACTAGTTTGCCAAATTGTACCTATAAGCTTTTAAATCGTACGTCTCAAAAATAAAATAAAAAAATTACAACAAAAATAAAGTTTTATTTTCTACAAAAATTCTCAGTCTACAGCAAAACATATATTTATAATCATGACGTCTCTAAAAATATAACAAAAATATTTTTTGTATTACATAAAAATATCAATAATATTTTAATATAATTATAAAATTTATATAATATTTTATTCAATTGTCTAAAAATGTGGAAAGAAAGAACAATGTCTAATAGTAAGTAAAAAAATTAATTAAGAAGGATCTTGTGGATCGCTTGTTTATAACTGGTATATACTTGAGAAGAAAGAAGAACGCAAGATTATAAAAAAATATGGTGAAACTGGAAAATGGCACGCGATGATGTATACTTGTAAGTAATCTCTTTCTTTATTTGAATTAAAATATATTTATTATAACTACAAATTGCAGAATCTGGATTAGTGCTGTAATGTATGAGAATTTCTCGTGTATAAACACGATACATCTGTTGTATTTTTAATTATTCATGTCTCGGACTTAAATTTAGTTTAGTAATTTTGAAACTTATTTCACTCTAATGTTTGAGAGAGATATATATCTTATTTAAATATGATTTTTTAAATTAATTAAATATATTTTTATCTCATTAATTTATGTTTAATGAATCTATTTTTCAAATTATATTTTTTCGTATATTTCTCATTGAAATATATTTTTGTAACAATATTTGTAGATTTTTAGTATAATATTTGCACTACGTATAGTATCACTATTAGCACAATAAGTATGTTTTAAATGTATTTTAATTGGTATTCATATAATATAAGTAGTTTTATTCGTATCCAAAAAATCGTTTTTTTTTACAATTAATTTAAATTTGATATTGTATGGAAAAATATTCATTAAAATTTATATTATAAGGAATACTTTTTTGCTAAGGAATTTGTCTGCAATTTAAAATGTTTAAGAATGAAAAAATTGATTTTGTATGGAAAAGCTCTATAGCTATTGTCTTTTATCTGGTTGTTATATAATAAACAGATATACACATTTGTCAAGAGAGAAATATTTGACTATAACAGTATTTTGAAAAATAATATTATAAAAGAGAATATAAGAAATATTTTTCAATTCGTTTTTGACAAAATTTGTCTTTGTCGTTGTAATTTATTACAACTTAACTTATATTTAAATAGGTATAGTAACAACTTAACTTATATTTAAATAGATATTGCACATATATATTTATAAAATATATTATATTTTATATATTATTCAATATATATATTTTATATAATATTCAATATAGAACACACACGTGTAAAAAGTAGGTAATGAAAATGTTATTTTGTAATCGATATTACTTATTGTTACGTTCTCTTCCTACCGCTGTATGTACATTAATAATTCATTAATACGGATCGCATTTGCGTTGCTCTTTTTCCCGAAAGTCTTGAAGAAAATTCTCAATACACGCAGGAGCTATATTCAATACTAAGGGCTTGTATTATTTTTTCAATACTGTTTCCCTTTAATCGATATTCTCCTTCAACCCTCAAGGGGAAAATATGACGACCCCTCTGTCATAATGGAGAGCTTCTTTACATTATATTTAGTGCCAAAAGAACAAATACTATAACTGTCCATCAGATATAAGTGACAGCTGTTTATTTGCCAGCACGAGACCGTTTTGCAAAAATGTACGTATGAGAGTTTGATCATTATGATAGGGTATACATATATACGTTCCTCAATCCCGTGTCGGGTTCCAGAAAATAAGCTACAGGTTATACGAAGGATAGAAGTTAGTTGATCTCGCGTTGTCGAAGACGTAGTGTCTCTTGAAAAATGATGGACATTACTTGGAATCATTATTACAATGTTGTGTACAAAATATCGTCGGTCACCGGTGCGTGGCCCTATATGAAACCAGGAGCAAGAATATTTCGCCTTACCATACTGACAATAACTATGTTAACTATTTTCATCCCTCAGGTAAATCGATATACATCTAGTGTGTGATCGACGGAATGAAGGAATTTTTTGCAAATCTTGAGAATAATATTTTCAGATAGCGTATCAATCTACATGCAAGAAAGACATATACTGTACTTTTGAGGCGAGTACGTCATATCTGCTGACATTTGCGGCTTCGTTAAAGGTGTACACTTTCCAATTTAACATTAGCACAGTAGGTTTTATGATACTTCGTGTCGCGATTCATTACTACAGCAGAGTCAACTTTAAAAATCATAGTTTGAATAGATAAAAAGAAAGTTAATATTTCTTAATATTTTTTACGCCAGTTTCATGAATTTTTCTTATTGAACTGTAAAAATATTTACTATTAATCAATATTTCGTCAGATGAGGTCTCTTACACGACATTTATCCGTCGATTGGAACGAAGTCGAAAATCCCGAGGAGTACAAAATAATGAAGTCATATGCTGAGAACAGTCGACGATTCTCTATGATGTATTCCGGTAGGAAAGGCATAGATATAATAGAATTCAAACATAAGAGAAAGGTTAATTAGAAGTGCCAGATGCAACAAATTTGTTTTTAAATTCTTTTCTGATAATTCTAAACATTTCTTTCAATCACCTTCAGCGGATCACCTGTTCCAGCCTGAAATTATACTACTGTCAAGTTTATTAATTTGTTTCGTATCTTAGCGATAAAATCAGTGTTACAGATGATACAGCCCAGCAAACACAGTATATAAATGTTATATACTCAAGCATGTTACATGTAACGTAAATGTTAGTTGTAATTTCCCACTCGTAGATGTAACATTTTTAATATTACATATATTACATTGTAGTTATATTGTCATTATATCCCAAGATAGCACTGACTTATCAATACATCAATGTGCTATTTGGTATATAATTACAATATAACTACAATGTAATATATGTTATATTAAAATGTTACATCTATGAGTGGGAAATTACAACTAACATGGATGTTACATGTAATGTACACGTTATATTACCTGTTATATTCCGTTTTATTATAGCAATGTAACAATTATGTATCGGTGTTTGCCGGGAGATATTCTATTCTCCTTCTCTACGTTTCTATCTTCCATAAATTTTACTTTGTACGTTGCAGCGTATTGCTTAATGGCGACATTTACGTTTATGTGTACGTCTCTTGTACCGTTCGCACTCGATTTCATGTTGCCCCTCAATCAATCCCGTCCCGTGATACCGCCATATCCGGGATACTACTTCGTGGATGTTCGCGAATATTTCTTGCCAATTTTCTGCCACTCTCTCGTCGCCTGGGATATCCTCATGATCGGCATAATGGCTCACGATTGCATGTACGTGACTTACGTCGAGCACGTTTGCAGCCTGTTCGCCGTGACTGGGTAAGAACATATAGGACCTAGCTAGAGATGACTTATCGAATTGATGTCGAATCAATGTCGAAAACATACTATATCGAAAACAAAATGATATATCATCGATTTCGATTGATTTATGTCACAACTTTCGATGAGTTATCGACTGACAAATTGATTTCGACTCTATATTGATTATTTTTTTCTCACTATATTGATAATTATATATTTAATTAAGAAATAAAGAAAATATAAATCTTTTTGTTGTATTATATATATATATATATAAATTAATTAATTTATTTACATTTTACTATAAATATGACAATTACGGATCGCATACGAATGACAGAAGATATATAAATTATAATCATACTCATATATAAAATTCACTTTTTATTTTTAATATTTATTTTTGATAGTCAAATCTTTATTTATATTAATAAATATAAATACTAATATTAATTAATATTAAAATATTTATTTCGTTGTTTATTTTAATTTGTTAAATATACTCATTAATTATAATTCTTTAAAGAAGTGATAAATATTAAGAATAGACATTTTTTTCTGAGTCAGTCGAAATGAAGATCTATAAAAAGTTTATGTTGCAACGCATAATAATTATTAAATTATAAAATTATATTTACACTATCTAAGTCTGGAGATATAGAATATAATTTTTTTATTTATATTTGCATTTTATAATAATAGTTTTAAAAAAATGATTAAAAACATGAATCAAAATAGCATCGATATCGATATCTAAATGATACAATATCGGATGTCTCTAAAAAATACATAAATTTGCAACATTTAAAATTCTGGCGATGAATTCACGTTACAAACAATCTTTTCCTTTAAAAATGTTATAGACTTCAAAATAAGCATCAAATTTCGAGCATTATTTCGATACGACGTAATGTCGATGATTTCGACGTCAATTAGACATCGATTTGATGGGTTATTTCTCGCTGGGGAATTGATTTAAAACATGTGCCAGAATAAAAACCGCATTTAAAATTTGTGTTATTTTATATACCTAACCCGTACAGTACGTGGATGTTCTCTAGAAATCCAAAAGGCATCCAAAAAGATATAACAGATATCCTCAGGATATCCTGTTTTAATCCTAAGACCTCCTTCAGATGTCCTGAGCAATTGCAATATGATCGCTTATTTTTTATCCCTGAATCATTCTTAGAATATTGTGTGGGATATTATGGAACTTTTATAGGATATGAAAAAAATGTTTATTTATAGGATAATTTTTATATCGGAAAAAATCTGCCTGTACAAAAAAGTATAAGAATTTTAGAAAATTACTAATATAGCAATAATTCTTCAATAATGTATAATTAAAGAACTATTATTATACCAGTAGTTTTTCATATTATTGTAGTTTTTTTTTCAAAAAATACATATGCTCGCGAGATAGTTATAAACATTAATAAATTTGAAAATAAAACAATTTAAAGATTGCGTAGCATTTAATTAATTTGTGTTGGATAACAAAAATAATCATACATGGAGATTAAATTTTTTGAAAATATATTAATGATAATATCTTAAAACATCCTACAAATGTCTTGGATCATCCTGGACATTTTGATGATAATCCTGAGGATGTCTTGTGCTGTCTAGGAATTCAATCGTCGAAATGAATAAAGTGAATCGTACAAATTACTTGCAGACATCGTTTCGAGCGTTTATTCTACAATGATCGTAATCAGTTGACAGAGGTCGTTGATCGAAACGATATGTATTACAAAAGAATTTCGTTCATCGTGCATACGCACCGAAAATCTTTAAAGTAAGTGTATATAAGGTGACATGTTGAGATGTTTACAATTAAAATATCCAGAAGTGACAAAATATATTTCATGCTTATCTCATTTTTTACATAGATTCGCGGAACTTTTAGAAGATACCTTCACCATACCCTTTGCGATTCAAATATTGATAGTAACAATGGGGATGAGCATTACCTTGTTACAAGTATTTATTAATTTTATGTAAAATTGTACTTGTAAAATCTCCGCAAAAGTTTCAAACATTAAACTTTTTTCATATTGAAGATTTCACAGGAGAACGGTCCTATACTGGAGAAGATAAGATACGCGTTATATGTCATTGGTCAACTGATTCACTTATTCCTCTTCAGTTTAGAAGGACAAAAATTGATAGATCATAGTCTTCAAACACGCGAGAAGATGTAAGACGGTCGTCTTTGAATTTCATTAAAAAAATTATCAGATTTTTATGTTATGTTTTGCATTTACCTCGCGCATTTTTGGAATATTGCAGATACAATAGTTCTTGGTATAAAGCATCCGTCAGATCGCAAAAGCTGATCATGATGGTGATGATTAAATGCCTTCGACCGAGCTTTTTAAGCGCCGGCAAGATTTACATTTTTTCTCTGGAGAGTTTTACCACGGTAAAGTATATATACTTATTATACGTTTTATTTTGAAGATTCTCTTTTACATGCCTGTGTGTATGTGCTTTTTTTTAAAGATTCTACAAACTTCGATGTCGTATTTTACAGTGCTCGCGTCCTTTCAATAATTTGCGATATTTTTCATCTGTAATTAGCGTTTTCAAGCCAGAAAGGGGATTCTAAGCGCTGTCTTGTTTTATTGATAAAACATTATTTTTGTGCACTCTTTTTTTTATGACTTGAATAATAAATGCTTTTTACACGATTAAGGGTATTCTAAACGTCCTTGAAATGGCTGTTGTTTCTTTCTTATTTTATCGACAAAATGCATGAGGTTAGATAAAAACTATAAATTTATTTATTCTTTTTATTGGCAGTTTGTACTTACAAAATAAAATTTAGGCGGATTTGGCATTGAATAAATAAGAAATATAAGTAAATGTTTAAATATCAATTTGGAAGCCTAGTACATTTTTATGCATATTTTTGCACATGTAAGATGATCTATTCCCGTTTACTAGGCTTCCAAATTAATATCTAAAAATTCACTTATATTCTTTTATCCAAAGTCAAATTCGCGCTAGTCTTATTTTGTATGTATACAATAAATTACCAATGAAAAGAATAAATAGATTTAATATAATTTATCTAATCTCACATTTTGTCGATAAAACAGGAAAGAAACAACAGACTTCTCAAGGACGTTTAGGATCCCAACTTACCGATTTTATATTATAAAAAAAATTTAATTTCTTAATTTAAAAAAAACTTTTTAATTAAGAAATAAAAATTTTTTTTATCGATAAAACATTTTTGTGCACCCTTTTCTTTTTATTGATTAACTAGAATAATAAATGCTTTTCTACTATATTAAAGTATATATAGAAATAAAGCGCGAATCTATCGATTTTGTTAAAAGAAATTTTTTTAATTTAAAAATTAAGAAATTATTTTTGTTTTTAATATAAAATCGATAGGTTTCATCGTTTCGAAACGACGGCGTTTAGGACTTCTTAATAAGTATCGAGAACATCACACATGCTCAGTTCTTATATTATAATTATATAATTTTGTTAATCACGTAATGTTTCAAATTTATTTATCTGATTTATAAAATCTCATCGAGCATCAAGATATTATTGTATGTCATGTTTTCAAATTTTTGAAAGTATTTATCTGAAAAAATTTCCACAAACTTTGTATATTTTTCGAATAATAATCGAGTGATGATAATGCAATTCATGTGATAAAGATGTTATTAGGATCCAATAATGATTCTTACAAAGTTCCACTGTACTCGAGGAAAATAAAAATGTAATAATCTGTCCTTTGTGTTTAATTATTAGTTATTTTTTAGGAGGTTAAAATAGGGGAAAGTATCTAGCTAAATCTTACCTTCTAAAAAAATATTAAAATTATAACAAAACTATCCGAGAAATGATAAAATTTTTTTTATTCTTTTGAAACTGTATATCTTTGTCAACAATATGCGCTAAACGTTAATGTAAATTTATCAGCGTTACAGATTACAGATCGCAAATTAAAAATGAATAAAAAATAGTATTTTGTACGATTTATTATACTGGTTTGCTAAATTGTGCCCATATGTTTTTATATCTCATTTTTAATAATAAAAATAAAATATTGTAAAATGACAAAAATAAAGTTTTATTTTCTGTAAAAGTTTTCAGTTTGCAACAAAATATATGTATAAAAATGTCATATTTTTATAATCATAAATTCTCCTGAAAAATTTAACAAAAATACTTTTTACACAAAAAAAATAAACAAATATAAATTATCGCTATATAATTATAAAACTTAATAATATTTTTTTAGATGTCAATCTAAATATAAAAAAATTAATATTTAAGTAAAAAATAAATTTAATTAATCGTACAATATAGAAAAAAATTAGTAGTACGTTTTATCAAATTTCCATTGCCTTTTGTCAAATTTGTGAATAAAAAAAATAAACTTAAAACATTGTGCCGATTTTTCAACGCTTCCATATGCAGAATTAAATAAGATGAAAAAATGCTTTAATAAAATAAATTTAATTGCTTATATCTTTCTCAATATGATAGCTTAAACACGGGATGCTGAATATTATGAAAATCACACACAATAAATTTATCATTGCTTACGAGAAAAACACAAACATTATTCGAATGAGTTTAGCTATAATATAACAGCGATATCTTAAAATATATTAACTCTGTTTAAAAAATACAATATATAGAGATACGATTTAGCACACTTTTCCCTATATGTGTCAATATCACATGTCGGGGCTTTGTTACATAGCAATTTCGATGTGTCACATCTCGCTATATCCCACATAGACGCCGCAGCGCTTATAACCGGCCATTAAATTGCGATATACGCAAGGAAAAAAAAGAAAATTCATTTACTCGGAAATTCTGATCGATAAACTCGTCTCGTCCATTGACAGGCCTTCATTGCACGCGTTACGAGATGTAACAAGCGAAATGAAGGGTTTCCCCGACGCGTGACACTCTGTTCCCCAGTTGAAACAATGATTGGTCCCTCTCTCTGGAGAACGAAAGGAGAGGTGCAGTCGATCGTGCGTGGTCGAGGGCGAAATACTTACCTGAAAAAATAGCTGTCGGTCTTGTTGGACTATGAAGTCCGTTTGGAATCATTATTACAGTACGACGAAGAGAATGCTGTTGTGGGCCGGCTTGTGGCCTTATCAGAGAAGAAGGGAGAGATTGCTCCGAGTGACTCTGTTGACTATGACTGGGCTTTCTATGATAGTTCCACAGGTTGCTCTTTCACATCTAATAACGAAAAAAAAAAATTAAAATAAATCAAAAATAAAGTGTTGCATTTTTAAACAAAAAATACGTAAAGAATTTTACAATTTCTATCAATAATTCGGGTTTTAGATCGGCAAATTCATTAAGTGTGGCAAAGATGTGCCGTGTATTCTAGCAACTATACCAACACATATGTTTCAACTTGTAGTTATAGTGAAGCTATATACATGCCAATTTTACAATAGCAAAGTAAAATAAAAATTATATTATACTTAATAATATTAAAGTAATATTAAAATATTATTAAATATATGAAGTATATTAAAGTATGTTAAATATTATTAAATATATATATTAAAATATTATATTTTGATACAAAGAAGAAAAACATATTTTTTGACATTTTCACGATTACTCGTCACACTTAGTCGTTCACAAAATTCATTATCTGATATAAAATTGATATATTTCTCTAGATTAAATATCTCACTGATCAGATGTATAACGACTGGAAAAGCGTAGAAATCCCGGAAGAATACGAAATTATGAAAGTTTATGCTATAAAAGCGAGACTGTTTTCCTTCATTTATGTGTGTAAGGAAATCATCGCGTTCGATTCCTCATCATTTTGCCTATAACGAGAGACGACGATTTACTCATTTATGTTGCAGTGTATTATTTAGTAGGTGCTCCCCTATTTGTATTAGTTAGCCTCACCCCGAAAATATTAGATTTCCTGTTGCCGCTCAACGAATCCCGCCCTCCAATATTGCCTTACGAAGCGCACTACTTTGTTCGCGACGACATGGAATACTTCTATTACATTTTCTTTCACGCTCTTGTGGGTATAGTAATAGTTTGTGTGGCAATACTCGCTCATGACTGCATGATCTTTACTTCCATCGAGCATGTCTGCAGCATCTTCGCCGTAGCTGGGTAATAATACATACAATGTTTGCTCTTACCTAAATAAAATTATATAGATGATCATCTAGATCGATGTCTAAATATTTGCAGATTTCGTTTCGAAAATTTGGCAAATCACGAAAATATCGATACATTGAATAATAATCCAGATGACATTTACAAACAAAAAATAGCGTTGTCCGTTCACGTACATTGGCGAGCTTTACAGTGAGTATGTAATAAATATATATTATGAAAAATAAATAAATACTTACGAAAGGAATATATTTTCAAGACAAGATATAATAAATAACGTGAATTATTGCTTGCCAAAGATTCGCGGAACTTCTCGAAAATACCTTCTCTATAACTTTCGTCATACAAATATTGATAGTTACCGTAGCGATGAGCGTTACCTTGTTACAAGTACGTGCTTTAATTAAAAGAAGCAAATAAAAATAAATAATTAAATTAAAATATACGTATATGTATTTTTATTGTGTTCTCGAGGTCGCGTCGCAATTAAATGACGCTATGGAAACATCGAGATATCTGGCGTACATTGGTGGCCAACTGATACATTTATTCTGCTTCAGTCTGCAAGGACAAAAACTGATAGACCACAGCTTAGAAATGCGTGAAAAGGTGTAAGATATCGATTTTAATTGCAAAATATACGGGGCGTCTCGAAATTCGCGAATCATCTGTTAATTAATGGCAGATTCCTTGAATCATTTGCAGACGAGTTTATTCTATCTAATATTTAGTTTTCGACGATCTTACTTCAATACTTTCATGCGCAAAATAATAAGAAAAATTGATTGGTGCAAAGGAAAACACATAATTGTTTATTAGAATAAATTGTTTATTAGAAAAAATATGTAACTTCCAACTAGAAGCTACATATTTTTTCTTAAAAACAACTATCTGTTTTCTTTATATCAATCGATTTCTCTTATTATTTTGTGCATAAAAATATTAAGCTAAAATAATCAAAAAAGGAATATTTTACGAGATATTTTATGAGATCATAGTTTACGTAAGATTCTATAATATGTTATACTTAAATATAAAATATCTCGTAAACTATTCTCTTTTTGACCATCCTACCCTTGTAAATTTCTATGCAAAATATCGCAAAAAATCGATTTAAAAGAAAAACTTGGTGATTCCATTTAAAAAACAAATAACCTTCAAATGACCTTGAAAACCGCCCTTTAAGAAAAAAGTCAGTAGTACCAACTCCTTTTTCCCCCGCGAAATGGTATAATCTTTTATCTGAAATAATTTTCTCTGGAAACAATATTTTTGGACATAAAAATTCGTAACTTATTTTGTCCATCCTGTATAAGTCTGCTATGGATTCATAAAAGAATAAATGGGAAAGCTTGATGATCGTTAAAACGCTATTGCGTGTATTGCAGATATAATTGTTCACTGGTATAAAATACCCATAAAATCTCAAAGATGCTTCTACACGTGATGAGAAAGTGTTTGCAGCCTAATTTTTTGAGCGCCGGCAAGAT